GCCCCCCGCGCCGGCCCCGCCCACTCCGCGGATCCCTCCGCGCGGTGCCGGGCGCAGTGCCCCCCGCGCCGGCCCCGCCCACTCCGCGGATCCCTCCGCGCGCCTCGGCCCCGGCCCCCGCGCTCCGCACTTGCTGCGGGTTCCGCAGGGGCGGCGGCGGCGCAGTGAGATGACGTCAGCAGCACTCCTTAAAGCGCCAACGGCTTCCTCCCGCCTCAAAAAACAAAAAAACAAAAAACAAAAAAAAAACCCAAGCCCCACGTTTTTACCYTCCTTTTCCCGCAGACCGCCCCGCTTCGTCCCCCGCCCGTTTATCCCTCCCTTCCCGCCCTGGCAGCGAGCTAACGGGAACCCCTTTAAGGCGGGAGGAGGGGGTGGCGGTTGCTATGGCGACCGCGCTGATGGCGCCATCGCCGCGCGCCGGAAGCGCTKCCGGCGCGCGGAGAAGATGGCGGCGGCGAAGCGGAGCGTGCTGTCGTCGCTCGCGGTCTACGCCGAGGACTCGGACCCCGAGTCGGACAGCGAGGCGGGCACGGGCGGCAGCGACGGCGGCGCCGCCGCGGGTGAGTCCCCCCCCACCCTCGCATCCCCCCGCGGCCGGGCTGCCCCGCGCCGCCCTCACGGCCCGCTCGCYCCGCAGGGGAGAAGGGCGGCCTCGTCTCCGTGGGCTACGGCGACGACGACTTCACGCGGCTGGACGGCGACGAGGACGGCTACGAGGAGGAGGACGACGAGAACAGCAGGCAGTCAGTAAGTAGCTCCCGGGCGAGGTCCCGGCGGCGCCGCTCGCTGCCCCAGTGTCTCCGAGCGCCTTCCTTCCCTCTCAGCTCCATGTATGAGACCTTCGCTTTGAAACCCGGCCACGCTTTGGCACAGCCTGTGTTCGCTATTATCGACCCTTTATGGAAAAGCGACAGAGACAGGTCAACGATCGCCCACAAATTAAAGTGTTTCTTAGGTAGAAATAGCATCTGCTAGAGTCTTGTAAGAGGGGCGTGTTGTAGCATGSTCGCCTGGAGCATGAAAAAGAATAAAGTTGTGCAGTTTCCTAAGTCATTCTATTGTCAATGACTTGACCCACCACACTGGATCATCTTGATGTAGCAGTGTCCTGTGTAGATGTGACGGGCTTCTGTTTGTCCCCAGTGCACAGCGTGTCTCTAATAGCATCTTAATACCGAGACAACTGATGTGTGGTGAAGCAGGGTGTGAAGTTTGCTACGTATAGAAGTAGCTAAACCCCCCAAAGGATAAACAGGTCTGTCAAGGGATTGCTGGAGCAAAGCAATACAGCTTCTCAGAGGAGCCCTTGTCTCCTTTCTTTCCCATCAACCTGTTGCCTGTTACAATAGTGAGGATGTGTTACCCTGGCTTTAGTTTTTGTGGCCACTCTGCAGAGGRGGGAAATAAGATTCTGCTACTACAGCTCTTTTTCAGTGAAATCTCGTTAGTGTGTGTTAGGCTGTCTCCTTGCAAGAAGCTCGCGTTTCTCCCAGGTGCTATTCTGCTATTAGTGACTCACTAGTAGAAAGGAAAATAGATGGGTTTTGTTCTTGCTTTTGATTTTATTTTATTTCTACTTGGAGAAAGCCTAGTTGGTAGCCAGATTATAGGAGTAAATTCTGGCTGTTCATCAAAAGTGAGTGTTTKTCCTCCAAAACTTTTGGAATCTCTTTTTGTGAGTTATTTTCCAGTTTAAAGGGAAGTGGCAGATAGGAACCAGATGGTTCCTAAGAGCTGCTATGAGTAGCTTCAACAAATAGGTGCACAGACATGAATTTATGACCTGCATGCTTTGCAGTGTAGGCTCAGCTGTCCATGAGCTGAGAGCTGCAAGATGCAGTCCAGGTAACAGCGATTGCTCAGGTTACTCCAGTGGTTACTCTGTGGTTCTGGCGTGTGTCTGTAGTCACTCACACTGCAGATCAGTGTAGGTCTGGACTTGGTTACTCAGGGTGCTTCCTATCCAGTCTCGTTGCAGGAGAACGATGCCAGTGTCTTGCATTTTTGACCAGAATAGTGTCCTTGAATTTAATTGTGCTAGATGTTGACTCTTTTTTTTTAAGTTGTTTTTAGAAAGTAGTGCAAGTTGGACTCGGCATACCTTGAGTTTTTTATCAAAATACTTCTGTCTTTGTATTAGCTACATTGTTCATGTTCGAAAGGCCCCTTAATTTTTTTTCTTCTTCTCTGTAACGTGTTTTTAGTTTAGTGCCATASTCTGTGAGGTTTTAGTAGGGTTTTGGGTTGGTTTCAGTTACTCATCTTTAACATGAAYGGCTCAATTCACTATTGTTCTATTGAAAATGGCTCCTTCTTTTACTGAGGAGGGGTGTGGAGAGGAAGGGAATCAGAGTTGTGATTAAGCACCAGGTTACTTGATACTAATTTTCTAATTTTATGCTTTTATTAAACTTTGGCTTMTAAGCCTGAATTATTTAAACACATGCACATTCCAGAAAGGTAAACTAGGGAGTAGTTTTCACTGGAATGAAAAAGGGATGTGATGTCTCATTCTGTGGGATATACGTGTTAATTCACACAGTTAGAACTTACTGACACTATTGCACGATCACTCGCTAGCTGCCTTCACAGATCTTGCCTGTGTGCTAACACCCTGAGGTGGCCACTTCRCTATGACCCTTTCCTTTTGGTTGCATGTAATCACCCCACTCCTTTTTGTTTTTCTTTTTGAAGCTAAAACACTTCATTGTTTTGAGGCCCATGTTGAAATTGAACAGCAAAGTTTGGAGGAAAGGGTGTTCTCCTGAGTTGTGTGAGCACGAAAACTTCTTCTGCTCCTCAAATTTGTTTTATACTTGGAAATATGAGTRGCTCTGGAGGATCTCCAGTGATGATGGGACAGTGGGACACTAGGCTTAGCTCTTGGGTGGGACCAGAGCTGTCACCAACTTACAGCTTAGAGGTTTTCAAGAAGTCTTGACTTTTTTTTAGCTCTCGGGGCAGAAATTTGCCCAACTCTTCAGCTTCTTTCTGGATATATGGGGAGGGTGGAAGACTTAAGTGTCAATCCTACCATTCTATACAAGTTTGTTATGAGCTGCAAATAAGACTGTTAGAACAGTGCACAAATAAGAAAGATGTGGTGTCAGCTGCCATCACTGGGGCCTTGGGGCTTTGGAACTGTCCTCTGTGTGTTGTTGATGCTGCTTGGGAATTCGGTAGGTCTTTGCAAATGCCGCTTTTTCTGTGAGTGTCGTTGAACAGGAGCATGTGCAAAAAAGCTCCCTAAAACTGGAAGGGTCTGAATAATGAAGAGACAATTTGTTATTTATTTTTTTTCCCACAGTTCTCTTGTTTCTTACTACCTGGTTTTGAGCATCCAGGAGTTTCATGAGTTCTGTGGGGGTTGTCTACTAATTAGTGGTTCTTTTGCTTCAAACAGTCAAAGAAGCCCCAGCTCCTGCTGCTTTCCATGACTGCAGGACTTTCCGTTTGTAAGTGGGTGGGACACAACTAACTTCTGTGTGAAAAGGGTCTTGGACTTCTGCTGGGCTGCAGTTTGCAAGCCCTTTGCTGAAAGTACAGTAACTTGCCAAGCCTGCTCTTTAAGCTTAATCCTGTAAATTCTTGTCTTGTAGGAAGATGACGATTCAGAGACTGAAAAACCTGAGGCTGGTGACCAGAAGGTATTTGGAAGTGTGGTGGCATGGTGGTGGGGGGGAAGCTCAGCACAAGAGGAATAAGCCTTAACAGCATGGGTTGTTTGGGGGGTGYGATATTCTGAGGCTACTTTCATACTCTGTTTTTCTTTTTATAGCTGCAACATGATTTTTTGTAAGGCTTTAAAGTGTGCCTTCTGTCAAGGCAGTGAACTGGTTAGACTATGGACGGAGTGATTTGAGGATCTGGTTCTGGATTCATGAACTTGGTCTTCTCATTAATAAGATCTGAAGTTGACTTTCTACATCTCGCCTATTTTGTATAGATTGGTAAGATGTAGTAGTCTACAGAATTCTTTTATTGTTTCTGATCAGCATTAGTTGAAAAACAATGAATAAGCAATCTTATGCTTCTGGAGATCAGAAACATGAAATAAATCAGCTCAAATGTCTCCCCTTTCAATAAGGTTTTTTGGCAAAGGTTGTATTTTAAAATGTGCTCAACTGACAGCTATCATAACTGTGCATAATTGAAATCCCCTTTATTCTAGAATTATACCTCATGTCTTCTGAATAATAGGTATTTAACAGAATGTTGGAACACAAGGCAAGAGGCAAGGGGAAAGGCCAAGTCCATATAACAGTTGCACAGAAATGTGCTCTGATTTCTATGTCCAATCAGTTCCCCATGCAGTATGGGAAGCCTCATGGAATATTGAGTGAATAATGATTAAAAGGTCTTTTTGTTATCCAGGGGCTTTCTCGAGGGTGCAGAGCATCTCTAAACTTTGCTGAGAAAAGCGTGGAGCCAGGCTGCAAGCTGAAGTTCTATTCAGTATTTAATATAAGGGTTTTGTGGGATAATTTAGCTATTATATGTAACTTTGCTCTTCCAGAGGACAGTTACATGTAGCAAGGAAGCAGCATTTCAGTTTAATATAGGGAATCAAAGATCTGGTACATTGGATATACTCTACAGTAAGAACTCTTAAGTACTCAAACTTGACTTTTTCCTCTCTTTAAGGAGAATTTATTCTTTGAATGAAGGTGATTTGGTAAAGACAGCGTGGAGTCGGAGCTGAACTTTAGTTTCAGACTTCTATACTGCTCTTACTGATCGTCTTGAGATGGTGAAAAAGGCAGCAGCCTCCTGGAGTTTTTAAGAATCCAGCTAAATAGCAGTCCCTGGAAGGAGTGGGAAAGAAGCACGTTGCAGTTTGCTGCACGGCACTGCCAGCTCTCCCCGTGCTGCATTGATGACAGGACAGCTGTGTTGCTGTGAACCATCACATGGCACCAACTTGTACTAACCACCTCATTGAGAAATTTGGGGGGTGGAAGATTGCTTTTACAGTAACGTTACTCAGAGCGGCAGCCTGTGTTTCCTTTTGCTCTTTTCCACCAAGTGGCAGTGTTCTCCTGGCTCCTCTCCTTGCTCCGAGAGCTTGAGYTGTGGTTACGGTAAATCCAAGGTGTGGCAGGAAGTAGGGAACTTGATTAACTCGCTTTTGGATAACTCTGTCTTTTGTTCCAGCTGAGTATTGAAATTGTTCTTRCTGTGTGAATTATCATTGTAGGCAATCACAGATCTGGAGACATGTCTGAATGGATGGAATAGGTTCTTCATTTGTGACTAGGGCTTTTCCAGGATTTGAAGAACAATCCTTCAAAAAGTTGTTATGCCTGAGACTGAACCACTGCAGCTGATCAGTTAATTATAGAGCTTCTTATAAGCCCTGAACATTCATTMCATGTTATTTCTGCTGTTTGTACCCCAGAACAGAAGGTAAATGAATTACATTGAGCTTGTGTCTTAATTGGAAAATTAACCAGGACATTTCTAAGTACAGGAGACCACACGGAGGAGTTCCCATGTACCTGCTGTGTCCTGGGATTTGTTGTGCACTTGAACAGTAGCAAACACAAGCTCTGTAAGGCTCAATTTTGTCAGTTATGGGTATAGAGTGAAGAGACTAAAAGCTCTGACTGTTTTAACAGTAAAGTGATACTGGTTGCATTAACCCCTATATCTTTTTCGTTTTGATTGCAGTGAGGGTGCCTTGTTGCTATTGATTAAGGCATTTCTGTCCACTTTGGCAGCCCTTGGTCCTCACTAGGGACAAAGGCAGAACCGAGGGCTGGCTGGGGCTGCAGCTTTCCCGTTCCTTCTGCTGCGTTTTGAGCAGCAAGTCCTGATAAGCTCTTTCAAGTTCAAACACTCCTATGATGTCAGACTGCTGTTTTCTCAATAGCCCCAGGAGATAAGTARAGGTTTTCTGTAAACCTGCCCGAGAAATGGGAGTGTCTGGAGGAGATGATTGCTTTCAGATGACTACTGAAGTTTAAATATTCTTGCAGAGCAGACTTTTGCCCCATAGGATACTTTGCTCCCAAACACTTGTGAACCAGTCCTGAACATCAAACGCTTCCAGCAAAAAAAAAATCTTCCTCTTAAATTTAAGTAAGGTAGTTCAATACACAGCTGTGTATTTCCAATACACATGGAAAGCAGGAGATTCAAATTTACAAAAAACTACTTGGCTTCCAGAATTTCACTCTGGGAAGAAGTGCAGGCCCAGAATGTGGGGCAAGACGTGGTTGTTATTGGCCCAAATGTCTTCAGTGGTGCCTGCTTTTAGGCTTAAGTAGCAGTCACCTGTTGCAAACAAGCTACTGCCTTAAAAGAACCTCAGAAATGAAAGATTTTGCTTGGAAGTGAAAAGAATCCCTCGGCAGAAGTTGCTGGCAAGGAGGTGATGTTAAATAGCTTGTGTCCTGCAGTCTAGGTGGACTCTGTGTCCCCTCCTCAGATGGTGGAACTGTGGATTTACAAACCAGACCTTGTGGATGCTGGTCTGAAATWGGTGTTGTGCAGCAGTTGTTGTGCTTGGGGTGACAAGGGTTAAGGGGCTGTGCGGTGTGTGCAGTTTGCTTGGGCTCTTGCCAGCAGCAGCCTTGGCGCAGGAACAAAATGCAACCCTTGGAGCTCACTAATGAACCAGCCCTGMAGGAAGCCAAATAAATCGTAGGAGAAGCTCTCAACTCGTGTTCCAGGCCTTACCTGGTGGGTCCTGCAGTGTCCCATCGTGGGGCTGGGGAAATAGCAGGTTGCAAGTGGTGCTCAAGGCCACAACCCAACCCTTCTGCTCCGCTTACGGTGCGGGGGGATCATTAACTCTCAAGCCTTGATTATGGTATCAGAACTAGCATGGGAAAAGTTGATTAAATATCACCACTCCCTTCGCAAGTGAATGGCTAACACGCAGTAACAGTTTCTGAAAGCAGGTAACTGCCTTGATATTTTTGGTTTCCTTTTGTTTTAAGGAACTCCCTGCTTGCTTCTGGCGTTGTACTGAGGCAGCCAGAGCAGGATCTTGTAGAAGCAGCAAAAAGGAGGCAGGTTTTAAGAGAAACACTGCATTCCTGAGCGTAGGGAAGTAGTACCCATTGATAAAACTCAGATTTGTTTATCTTTTATTGACCCAGCCTATCTGTAAAATAATTTTATGTWCTATGATGCATGGGTGCATACCAGTATTTAGAGGATTTGGGCGCAATGCTCATGTTGCTGCCCTTTAACTTGTATCAGTTAAAATACAAAAACCAATATTGATTTCAGGTAAAAAATGAGGCTGTAAGGATCAGTAAGGGGGTCTGTGYGCAATAGTGCGGTCTCTATCTTTATTTGGTGAGGCATATTAGGATTTCTGTGATCAAGATGCATTTGTGAAACCAGGACGTGTGGCACTGCAGCAGGCAGCGCTGTGCAAAGGGGGAGCACCCTTAATTCAGCCTCCAGTGCTGTGGGCTGCACGATTAAATCAGTGCTCAGACATGACAACGGCTGCTGGCTCTCCAGGCAGTCACTTCTTTAGGTAGCTGACCTTAGTTCTTGCAGGAGAAATCAGTGGTTAAACAGTTTTCTTTGCAGGGAACCAGCATTCAAGGTTTTGGGGGATTTGCCCCTTTYCCCCAGAAGTGCCTGTACCTGGAAGGCTCTCTGCGTGTCTGCAGCCCTGCCTGCCTGCAAGGGAGGTAGATCAGAGCATTGTTGGCCTTCAGGTTGACTTACCTACTTCAGAGCTGCTGGCTTCACTCCAGCTCCGAGCTATTTGGAGGATGAGACATGTGCACAGGCGTGTTTGTTCCTTCCTCCCCGCCGGGCATACGTGCTGCAACAGACCCTTCGCTGCCCGCAGCACCGAATACCACAGATTACTGACACAGGTGTGGCTTGCTTTTCTCCAAGGGACGACTCAGGCTCCTTCTGTTTGTCTCTAAATGTGAAGAAAAGGCTTTTTTGGAGCATTTGGAGCATTTTTTCCTTGCATGTTTTGCCTGGTAAAGGTGAATGCTTCTGACATCCATTTTTTTTGTTGCAGTTATTTCTTTGCAGCATTGAAACAGGCTGCTCTAGACCTGCGTGTTGGCACATGTCAGAGTGAGCGTCCTGGAGTCTCAGTCCAGACAGACAGATGGTCTCAAATGCCACAGATGCATTTGCAGAAATGCAAACACCAGATAGTGGCTTCTTCCAACAAAAACTGCAAAATCTCCATAGAATCCGCTCCTGGAGGAGCAGCTTCCCTGATGATGGTACTTGCTTTTGCACCTTGCAATACCTGGGAAGAAATCTTGCTTACAAGTTAATTTTGGCACCATTCTTGAGCCTTGCTCTTGCYGCTGTTGAGGCTTAAGTTTTTTCACAGTCCAGCTTTACCTTCTGCTTGATTCTTTCCTGCAACAATCTGCAAAAAATAAAAATCCTTAAGGTAGCTTGATCCCCCTCAGGCCCAAGCAAGCATTGCAGGTATTTAACTTCTGAATTCCTGCTTCGTTATGAGAAGCACAAATGATTTAAAAGCAGAATTTATGGCTCTATGAAGCAATCAACTTCTCATGGGGGTTTCTAGCTTCTGATGGGGACTGCAGAGCGCTTTGCTGCTGGGTGGGTTCAATGTGTGGCAGTCACTGACTCTTCTCCTGCTCTGATGGGCTAAGGATGGGTTGGTTGTCTGGGTAGGATG